GTAAAGGAAGACGTAACCCATACAGTGATAAATAGCTCAAATAAATACTAGTATAATACAAAGATAATATATTGGTTTTACCGGACCTTCAAAATGAAGGCCTAGATTGCTTAAACTGAACAAAGTTATAATTATACATTCATCCGTTTACGTTATTAAGCCTTATTTCAACAAACGATATCATTGGGTTACTATAAGCTGGCTTCGTATAACACTAATTTGTAGTATTTAGTTAAATATATATATTTTGACAAGAAGTTTACTTTCATTACAATAAGAGATATACAGTATATATAAGACGAAATACAAAAATATCTTTTGCACTATACGACTCTCATTAAACATAATCCTATCTAAACTATTCTTTACATTTAATGTCTTTTTTGACTATACATTTTTTTTTGTATATTTTTTTTTTGTATTTGTATCATTTTTTTTTGTATTTGTAACGTGTTTCAAACTTTTTACACGGTGACATAAAAAATTCTGAACCAGTCTGATTTTTCTTAATATGTGAAGTTTAGTCTGGAATAAAGCAAAAGTTGTGTTTTGGAAACAACTACATCAAAAATTCGATTTTTATATAGAGTATAGATAAATTCAAGAGTGGATACATCTTTCCCACGAGATAATAATCTCATGTTCCGGAACTGTGTCATTGCTACAAGAATTTAATTACCGGTGAAGATTCAATTACGCCTTTGTATATAATCCACTCTCTTGATTTCAATTAGCGCGTGTATAAGATATCTCGAATACATACGATACCATCGTGCAATAAAGATTAATATAAGGAGATAGAATATTTCTTTCAATACAAAATTTTAAGGTGTTATTAGAAAATGTCCTGAATTAGACATAAAGTAGGATACAAAATAATAAAATGCAAGCATTTTTACATTACATACAAAATCTCTGAACATGCTACTTTCAAAATTATTATGGTAAATGCAACTCTATATTTGTCGTGATATGAGCGTAAATCGCCAGTTTTCTTAGGGATCTTCAGCTAAAATGGTATAAATTCTAGTTTTAATGGTTAATACAATAATATACTGATAGTTTCTTCATACTACGTGGATTACGATTTTGTATTTAAAATAAAGAACTTACTTCCAATATTTTAAATTAAGATACTAAACTACTAGTATCATTTGAGTTATTAGTAGTTTTATTTAAAAAGATATACGAGTATATATCTTTAATTATATAAAATAACGACTAAATAATGATTTATATCTTGATAAGTGTGTTTGTATTTTTCTCTATAATACTCAGTTACGTATCATATTTTTTATACATAAAGTCAAAAATTAACAATATATTTTTACATTGCGCTAACTAACTCTACGAATATATTTTAGTGCTAATGACGTGTTGTTTCGAGTCGTTTTATATTCTATGTGCTTTTTAATGAGGGCAATCCTCAATATTTGTTATGGTAAATCATGTGACCTTCTTACTAATTTACTAATTATATACCTGCTTACTTCAGTACCTTTTTTTTAAATGTGATGAAGCTTAACCAACTTTGTGTAAATGTACACAAGCACACAAACATACATATATATATATGTCATTATTATTTCTCTACATCATCTTTAACTCGAGGCATATTCGTTTCAAATTATAAACATGAGAATTTTCCGTTATTTCATGAGGACCTGTGTATTCTTAACTTTCGTGGAGAGTTTCAGTATATTTAATATCGATCAAAATCTTCTTAAGTCTTCCAAACTTATATATCTGAATTATAGAATAGGAAATTTGTATTCGTGACTTGAATAATAATGACAAAGCTTTATGATAACACGTGATTTGATTCACAGAGTCTTATCGATATTCCTACGATGAAATTCAATTCTATTATACTATGTAAAGATAAAATACCTTTGCATGGAATAAAGATATATGATTTACATTTCTCATTACACTTTTAGAATAACTTTCATAGTTATATCTTCGATACTCAATTCGAAATATATGTATATACTGTTACTAAATATTTTCTTAAAGTAATTAAAATAAACCTCTCGTCGATGTATCAAGACTTAGTTAAACATTAATGACTAAAGTTATATCTGATAAATAAACAAACTATTTGCTAAATATAACTTTGTGTGACTACTACAATCCACAAGTCTAAGTGTAATAACTTCGTCTCCTGGTAATAAGGATCAATAAAAGCTATTTATATGATAATGTTATAAATATAAAGTAACTTAAATTAAATCATTCATATATTTGTATGGAAACATGTAAAAGTAATTTTATAATATTGTATACATATACTAGGTATTATTTACAAAACATGTAACAAATTACGATCATGTCTTTGCTCAGGTTTAAAGAATAAATGGAAGTATATACTCATTCATAGTATTCTTTTAATATGACGTATTTTTTATAAGAATAAATAACTTAGATCAAAAGAGTACATATTTACATAACGACTTAAAATTAAAGGGAAAGAACAATCAGATTACCATTGCTCATGATTATTATATGTTATCATGTGCTTTTATTATTAATAATATATTTCTATAAAGATCTCCTTTGAATTATTTATATATAAAAAATCTGTAATGTTTACACATACAGTACTTTAAATGTTTTTGTTATTATTTAATTCGTTAAATTCGATTTAAATGCCTAAATCAAACTTAAAGTAAATTTGGGTTCAGAATGACCTTAACTCCTTTGGAAATTTTAACGTCACTAATGAATAATTTATAAGTTCATAGTAATATTTCATTTATTTCCGTTAAAAGTACTGGTAATAAATTATCATTTATTTAAGTAAAATATGACAGTACAAACGCTATATATATTGAAAACAAATTAACTGTCACTTTATCATATATCAATCTTTTTATGTTTATAAAACAGTAATGGTTTTATTTACTATTGTTTTATGAAATCCTACTTTTATGATAAAATCATCTTTTATCATAAAGTTATTGCTCATTTTAAAAACAATAAAATGTATGAAACTATTAAAAAGCCATAAAAATTATCATATATTTTATCACATTAACATTGAAATAGTCGAATATCTATTTCATAAATTAAAATTGTTTCTGGTACATACATATAACATATATAAATTTATCATATATACATTATAATTTTGTAATGTATTTTAAAGTCAATAAAGTTTTGAATTTAGCTAAGAACATTTATCACGAAATTACAAATTACTATCGTATTTTGTGGGTTTGCACTCCTTTCATAATCACTTACGAAGCATACGAGAGATTAAAACACAATCCTGCATGGACCTAAATGCAATTTTTTATTCAAAATTTAATAAGCTATCATCCTGAAACTAAAAACGAGGTAATTTCTCCAGATTTCATACACTATGTACTAACACCACAGTTAGTAAAAAGAAAGAAACAAAATTCACTTGTAACGTTTATTGAAAATAATATACATCTCATCTCCGCTGGTAATTTACATTTGAAAATATTTTAGCTCACTACTTACTAAGTTAAGGAATACTATAATGCGTATAAAGCGTTAATTGCAATATACGCAACACACTGCCATAAACGATGCCTCCAGAAGCCATAATTAATGAAACCTTTCCATTATTAATATTATTTTTTTTGTAAAGGCACATAATGCAAACAATTTATGTAAATTGCTCCAATTTATCAAACACTGAGTTTATGTGCAACATTCGGAATATATGAACCCGAGGTCATTTAAATTGGATTAGATGAATATTTTTACGGAGGTTGCCATTCGTTTGTACATTATTTATGTTCCAGACGCATCTTATAAAATTATATACACATATAAAAATAAACCTTTTTACATCTTTACAATCATAATTTAAAAAATATATTTAATATTTTTTTTATTTCATAAAACTATCATGTAACATAATAGGGATTACATATGCAGAACAGCAGAAAGAAATGTTCAGTCAAACGAAATAAGCTTACACGTTATTGAGAATTAGAAGATAGCATTTACTTTAATAATAATTTTTAATTGACATTCATAACGCTGTTAAGCCCTATATAATATTATTATATGTATGTATATATATTGGCACTTAACATCTTACATCTATTTGGTCTATTTACAAACATTACATTATAGGTTTAAGAACATTCAATAACTTATTACTTTGAAAGCATATTGTTCTATTAGCTATATATTTACATATTCAATAAAATATATGGTCGCGTATTTTGTATGCAGTACGTATTTAATTCAAATGAGTTCTTTTATATAAATAATAATAACTAATAATTTAAATAATGTACGTATATATATGTTTTTATGAAAATAAAGTTGACGAGTAAGCAGAGGGCTTACTTTTATCTTACGAGTACCATTATTTTGCGTCAACGCTACAGATTAAGCGCTTCTAGTTTTTCAATCACAAATCCTAGATACAGATTTGTGGTAATTATGTTAAGTGTTCATCATCGTCCAAACAATTATACCATCATACTTTATATGTACAACCCATGTAGGAATAATAAGGGTAACTTTTTCACTTATTCTTACGGAATTAACAAGGCACTGCCTTAAATAATGTCTAGAGTTGAATAACTACAATGGTTTTGATAAAATATGTGCAAGCATTTTGTAAGCAATTACATAAAAATATTATTCCTAAAATACATAAGCATCGGAGTCAAATAAAATAAGTACATGTGTATAGTATAGACAATTTGGTTCATTTGAATTAAAAAAAAAGTTTTAATCACATCATCTTTGTTGCATTTATATAAATATTATCAAGAATATGAAAAAAAACAAGAGCAATATCAAAAAATCTTATAAATCAAGTCATTTACATAGAAATCTATGTGAAAACTATATTCTTAATTTATCAGAGCAAGCTTTGATTATCCTATAGCAATTCCAAAGCATTTGTTTATTCTCGCTTAGAGGTTATATCAGTTTTTATTAATGCTTACATATTTAAATATTTTATTGCACCATAGAAAATCAGGGAACTTTTTAATGAAACAATGTTAAAGAGGTGTTTCTTCGCCGGGTTCACAATAAGGAAGTCTAACCACTTTAGCCCCTGATAAAACACCGACGCCTTCTAAACAAGATCGTCTGTTGGATAACACGTCTTTTAAGAAAGCTCTCCTTGGACCGGCCAAATCTGTCCCAGTAATAGATCTAGTTAACTTCCTCAAAGCAGGTAGTTTTAATGCTTCTTCGTAAGATGGTGGTTCATCTGTTGGTGTTGTTTGAGGTCGACCCCCAAAAGGATCCCTAGAACATGTAGGTGACAAATCTTTTGAAAAATATAAAGTATTTTCACCAGCACCCCTACTAGTTTCTGGTATTGGTTCATAATTAACAGCATTGTTTGTTAAGTCTTCTATTATTTGTCTGGCACTTCTAGCATTCGTTAAAACACCAGCCCATGATCGCCGGTTTTGTTGTTTAGCCTCCGCCAAACGAGTACTAGCGGATATATTATGGCTTGAGTGAGTTTCAGCTATCATCACTCTTGGTCTCCTCGGAGGCTCGTCGAAGGAAGCTGCTTTAACAGCAGGCCTGTTTGGTCTTTCGCCTTCCATGTCTATCAAAACTGTCGAATTCGATGCATTCTCTGCAGGATCTTCCCTAAGAGCCGCATCTATTCTCATAGCTTCCGAATAAGATGGTACAATAGCACAATTGCCACGTATAGCAGCAAATAATTCTAGACTATCAACAGTTGACGCATGAGAGAGGGGAAGCGTTCGTGGTGGTCTCGACGCAGAGCAAAGAACGGCACTTTGTTCATCTGCTAAAGCCCAGGAATAATTGGACGATGGAACTGGCGGCATGATGTCCGATAAATGTGTATCTAAATCTAGCTGTCTACTAGGATCTAATTCATAATTTGTACCAAATATTTTTGTAATCTGTAACAAATATAAAATAAAGCACGTCTTTAAATTTAACAAAATTAACTTAATTTAAACATGCAACTCACCGTATAATGTACATAAGCAGTATTGCACTCTATTACGATTCTAAGTGGCCACGAAAGAAGAAGACATGAAAGCGTCCAGAAGAGTATCTGGGATGAGTACCAAGGACAGCGATCTGTTTCCCTACAAAAAAATAAATAAATGGTAAATATACAATTATAGGAAGCTCTAAGCCTGATTCTTCTTTGTTGGTTTATTACCTGTAAGCTACCATATACTCCTTGAAGGAACTAACTCCTATTAAATCTAAGCCTTCTCGCATTTCCATGAAATCATCGAATCTTTCATGTTCAGCAAAAAATCTCGATCGCTGGTCTTCAAATTCTGAGAAATTTTAGTTTGAGATATAAAAAGGTGTATAGACTAGTATAGTATGTACCTATTTACTGTTTTCCCACTTACCGCTAGCAGCTTCAATATTAGCAAATGCGAAGCCCTTACTGAATCGCACTTTTGTAATAGGAGTATTTGTGTCTAAAATAAGATTTCTGGATGCATCGCGTTGACCGCAGCAGGCGTGAGCAAACGCTGTACTTGCACTATGGGTGTTAACACGTTCGTAGTAAACCTGCAGAAAACATTTTGACGCTACTATCCATAGAATGCACAATATTATTATACGTAGACAATATATTCATTTCTCATTTATAATTTTGTAGAATGTAAAACCTAGATAATTAACTTTTGTTTTATAATAATGAACACTTGTACATAGTGTAAATTGCAATAAATTTAAACACTGTAATTTTTATGTTTAAAAGAGTTATTTTAATCATGATCAACTTCAATATTAATTACCTCCCTCATTTTGTATCTCTGAGTATCAAGTTAACAATTCTAAAGTTAATATGTAAAATACTTTGTTCTGATAAAAAATATTTGTAATAGAAATTCCTTGAACTTTATTCGTGAAGGTTCTGTTCTATTCTCAAGGCAAGAATATTATGTTCTTTATTCAAGGTAAGAAATCATTTTCAGATATATCTCTACAGTAAAATAACCTGTGTAGTAGTGTAGGCGTCGCCGTTGCGATATCGCGTGACTTGGCGTTTCCGACGCACGTAGTGGTAGCAAATAGCTTTCCACCTGCGAATAGAACCTTTATTAAATACTTTACTAAAAACGATGACTCATGATCGATTTAATTTGTGTTAGAAGCGCAAACTTCCTTTCCAGTCGGTTTGAATCTATATACAAACGAAATAAATACAAATAACACTTTCTGAGGTAAAACTATTTATCATGGTGTTCGCTTTTATACCAAATATTTATCTAACTAACCGTGACTATAGGAAATTAACGAAATGTTAAATTGCTTTATATGTGTTTAAATAATGGCGTAATGAAAACGTTGTTATCATTATTATTACTAATTTAATCTCACCAAACCCTTGGGATAGCCGTCCTCATGGAATGTACTCGGGCGCTTACAGCAGCCACGTCCACTCTTCTAGCAAGTTGTATCCTTGCAGTACTGTGATAACATTCGACCAAGTACACCAAGTACAGAAGTAGAACAAAGGCAATAGGTATGTAGGCATAGCCGATATCACATGGCGATTCTCTTACTGTCCTCTTGATAGGGTACCTGAACAAAAAATGAAAGATGGGATTTAAAAAGATAGACATTATTATGTAGTAGTATGGTATTACATTCCTGTGTAAAAAATATTTCATATAAATATACTTTATTAATAAACAACGCGTATAGCTAAATAAAAAAAATCTTTAAAATATCTTTATTATGTGCATAATTAAATCTTAGAATGTAAAAAAATATACCGAATAGGAAGCACTGGCTCTTTACTACTGAAATGAACAATCCTTTAAACTTAAGAAAATTTGATTGTAGAAGTGTACTGTTATACTTAATATTCGGTATAATTTAAGAAAGACATAAAAAGACAATAAAAGTTAAAATTTGTGCATGATTTATAATTAAAAAATAATAACAGGTGCTTTAATAAAAATTCATTGATATTTATAAAGTAATATCAGTTTATTCTCCAGACATTTTATATAAACAGATTAGATTTTCTCCTATTATCTTCTACATTATGACCTACTTTAGTCACTCTTGTTTTCTACTCAAGTTTATGAACGTTATCTAGTTACTGGCTTTAAAATTGCATTATTTGAAACGGGCATTTCATTGCATATTTTATGCGGTATTTAATTAAGTTAAACCATTGAAGATTAAGTATTTTTTATAAGTTTCATGACATTGTTGTGTCATACATTTGATTATATGAACGCACCGACAATGTTTTCTTCCTGGTGTTGATGAACTGCAAGAACTGCTTTCCCTAACCATCGGATGCACGGCATCTTGTGCCCTTAAATAAAGTTACATACATAAACGTTTGCAGCATGTCAACTAATTGTCAAATGAGTGTGGTCTCACGTGTTCAGATCGATGAGCTCTCGGTCTATCTCTGCAGTACTGCACCAGGTTACTGAAGCGAGGCAGCCTACGATCATCAGCGTAAGAAGAAAGCATTTCCAATTGCCTTCACGACGTAATACACCGCCAATACTCTGCTGTCGAGGTCGCTGCGAAAAAATAAAATAATGAGATATAGCATGAATGTAAGCAATATAAGTCCGCCATCGTTCTAACGTTTTTCATTAATCATATTCGAATTAGTTTACACACATTACACATGTAGCATTACACACATTACACTTGTGATACACACATGCTACATAGCAAAAACGAATAAAATATAGAATTATCTCTATTTAATAAAAAAAATCTATGGAATATATCAAATATTAAAGGTCCAGAATTAATTTCGTTTAGACATCTTTAGTGAACTTGTAGAAACTAACATTATTCGCTACAAAGTTAAGGGTCTTCTACTAAAAATAGTTTCAAAAATTATATAACAACCCAAAGCAACTAACACGCCGCGCCGCATATGTAGATCACGTTTGTTCGTGTATTCGGCTAGCATTGAAACTATACGCCATAATATAAGAAAATACTTGTAGTATAAATACATATAACTAATTAGTATAAATATTAAATAAGCGGAGAATTTTAAGGAAAAGATAAATTAAGTATGTTAAAACGAAATAACTATGTACATAACGAAAATATACTAACGTTACTTAAATGGTCTATCAAAAAGTTTAGTATCCATTCCTAATTTTAATATTATAAAGAAAACCATAACAATCCGAATTTCTCATTCAGAATCTCTAATAAATAAGCAGCAGGTTTTTTGAAAGATGGCTTCAACATTGAAAGAAAGGAAAAATTGAAAATGTGTATGATAATGTGAGGAATATGTTTAAAAGAGATTTATAAGATTTCTACATTTGAAATACGTGGTATAAAAATACTTTTTGATAAAGCCTAAAGCCTTAATGTATTTTTTTGAAAATTTTACTCAAATACTTTTTTTTTGACAGAATAAGTTCATAATAAATCCCATTTATCTTCGAAATAAAGTATAAAATTATTATTACAAAACAATTACAAGGTTTAAGAAAATTATGAAACTCTTAGGATGAGATTATCCAATAAATATTTAATCAAAATTTATAAACGAGTTCACAAAATTATGTTATCGTGAGTTATCTACTTTAATTAAAATAGATTGAAATTAATAATAAACGACTTCATTTACAAAAGTTGTATCGAAACTAATACATTTCCATAGCAATATGATAGAAATATTCTTTTTATCCTCATAAACATTTTATTTATGTTGGTTTTTTTATTAAAATATTTTAATCTACTTTTTTACTATATTTTACATTGCGAATTTACTTTTAGTCAATTGTTACATAATAAGTTTTTTCTCAGATCCTATTTCACTATCTCGTAAAGGTATAAAAATCATTTTGATTAGTTTAAAAAAACAAACAGACAGTATAAAATATTATTATTATAGAGAAAATGTAATATTTCCGAAGACGATATCAGAGACAGAGCGAAGTGGAGAAAAAGATAGAGAGGACTGACCCCATCATCAAACTTATATGTAGAATGCAATTATAAGTGTTTATAATGTTTAGACTTTACAAGCAGATGTATTTTTTTCATTACATATAATAAATATATGTAACTCAAAGATTTCAGCAAATCCTCACTCGTACATACTTCTTTCCTAAACAAACATCATTGCTACGTGTAATGACATATTAAAAGCCTAATTAACGTCTAATTGTAAACTCAGCTAACCGCAATGCTTAACATATTAGTATAGTATTCTATATAAAAACCATCGCGTTGATCCTTCTAATTAACTATACGACACACAGCCGTATATTTGGATAGCTAATTTATTATTATTTAATATTATTTAAAACATTCAAACAAGCTTAATGAAGCTTTGCTTAGTTTTGTAACGATGTTGTATACAAAACAGTGATGTCTAAGTTTAATAATTTATGTGCGTCGCAGCGTGAGACAGCAGAATGTTTTGTCCTCAAACATAATTACACGTTTCACGATGTTTGCAGAAGACAAAATTATGCTCTAACGTGGGGAATAAGGATCGTTAGAATTCTAAATTAAAAATATATTGTAACAACCTAAGGGTGAATGGCTAATTCACGATTTATTTAATAAAAATTACAAAGTAAAATTACATAATATTTTTACGTTTCTATCTTAATGTTTGTTAGAAACTGTATCATTCGATCACTTTATCTTCAATTTCCTATATTACATCATACATATCAACTTCCTAAAAAGGGAATATTACGATGGAAAATTAACGGTGGACTCAAGGAATCATAGAATAAACCTAGTGATTCACATAGAACTGCTTATAAACAAAATTTTCTGAGTATTTTAAAGTTCTTTTGCTAATATGACGAGAAAGTAATGTAAACAATATTCGGTACTGAAATAATCAAAAATAGAAAACAAACCATAGTTTCATTGAATATTATAATCAAATTAATATAATAATTAATTTAAAATAGTAATAAAAATGCCACTGGTTAGACATTTTTTTTACAGCTGAAATTTCAAAATGACTATGTTCGATAGATCAAGAGAAGAAATATAATCCAAGCCCTCAATAAGGAAACAGCAGCCATAATCTTTATTAGTATGCGACAGACGAATGGATGTTTGTACGTGTTTAAGCTTTCAGGATAAAGCCTTTTAACAAAACAGTTTAAATTCACGTCCAATATTCAGTGTACGTCACGTAATCACGTTACATTACACGATACTTCGAATGTTTAAGTAAACTTTGTGATTATGTATCATTATTACTTGTTCTTAAAGATAACGTTCGGAAGAAAAAATACTTCATATTAATGTACCTGATTATACTACTTATGATTACATTAAACATGTATTATTATTCATGATCAGCCTATCAGAGCCCACTGCTGAGCAAAGGCCTCTTCTCACATGGAGAAGGTTTGAGCATTAATCATCGCTCTTGCTCAAGACGGGTTGGTGATTTCAAACTTATAATTTGAAATTTTATAAATTCAGGTTTCTTCACGTCATTTTCCTTCATAGCCAGTCAGTGGCAGTGGTGTCTAAATACTCTTAGAAAGTACATATGACTCGGAAAAATCAGGTGTTATTATTAGATATTATATAACAATACAAATTATATAACCATATACAATATTATACATATAATGATATAAAACTATTGCCGTCAGTAATGTTATACCCTTGTCTGCGATACCTTTTGGAGAAAGAATCAATTTCAAAGAATTTATCTTAAAGCTCTAACTCACATGCAAATTGCTTCCCCACATATCAATATGCTCAAATAACACATTAAACATATTTACTATACTTTGTTAGTAAAAATGTTATTATTTTTAAAATATTCTTTGAAATGATAATCAGATAGTCATCAGTCAGAACCTAGAAAAATACAATATCGTAATACCTGGAACAATTAGTTCATTAGTAAAAAATCTGTGTACTATTTATATTAATATTGTATTCTGTAATTACAAAATGAAGATGATCCCAGTATTTTTAACTTTGTAATGTTATTGAGTATCCTTGCTACATTAGTCCAGTCATTATAGTAAGTTCACCTCGGAATTCGAGATACCCAGCTGTAAGTATGTAAATAGTTGTATATTGACACCCTAAAAGTTGTCTCAAAACCTACATATGGTAGGGTGTAAGCAACTATTAAATTTCAGGGTCAAAGTTCACAAAAATCGGTTTTTTGCGCTTTTTTTGGAAATATCTCAGTTCCTATAGGTTTTTTGCTATTTGTATTTATTATCAATATTGTAGAATACTAAATTCTCTACAAATTTTGTTTCAAAATTTTTTTTATACGGTGTACCGTTTTCGAGATAGAGGGCGGAGAGCGCGCATCAACATTTCAACCGTGTATATTATCAAGTTCAAACTTGGTTAGGACATGATTTGGAACCCCAGGTATGGGGTTGGGCAATGCGAAATGATTTTCTGGAAGCTATCATGACAATTTTACCACCTGCTCCAGAAAATTTGCTAAATACAACTTTCTGCAACTGCAAAAGTGGTTGTGGTTCGCGATGCGAATGCAGGAAAGCGGGCTTGCAATGCTCTTTAGCTTGTGGCCAATGTAATGGGCAAGCTTTTTCAATCCCTTTTTCAAGGTGGTAGAGCCTAGCTGTGGTGAGTTACTACAGCTCGAACATGGGCTGGCTCGACCGGGGAAGTACCACCCTCTCACAGAAGATCGGTGTGAAGTAGCCTTTACTGGCTGCGTTTCGTTTTCGTCCATGGGCGACGGTATCCACCTTCCATCAAGCTCTGCCGTCTGCTCGTTTGCCACCTTTCACATAAAAAAAAAAAAGCTTGTCTCAATGCTCAACCATATCAGAGCGACATTAACGAAGATGGAACCTTTGATCCCGAAATCATGGAAGAACTTGAGACAAATGTTGTTGAAGACGATAATGAAGACCAGTTTGAAATTTACCAGCAGCCAGAAGACGACGATGAAGAGGAAGAAGATGTTTAAAATTATAAATTGTAGTTTTTGTACCCTTTATTCCATTTTTTTACTTTCAATAAAAAATAATTTATTCAATGATATTTTTTAATAAAAAGATTAATTCATAATTTATTTGTTTTTGTTTTCATCATGTAAGAAGTTATTAATATTAATTAGGTTAAAATTATATTTTCTTATATTTTCATTAACAATTCTGCAATTACATGGACAGGTAAGTGTTGTTAAATAAATTAATACTGAATAAAAAGTGGATAAGTTAGGAAAAAAATGATAAAATATAATATAATAGTTAATAAAAATTGACAAATATTTATAATCATTGATTTATTGATAGTTCATCAACTATATATGGCGCGTTTTCGACCGAAGGCACCGGTTGACCTGAAGTGCTGCGGTGACCGCGCGCTCTCCGCCCTCTATCTCGAAAACGGTACACCGTATAAAAAAATTTTTGGAACAAAATTTGTAGAGAATTTAGTATTCTACAATATTGATAATAAATACAAATACCAAAAAACCCATAGGAACTAAGATATTTCCAAAAAAAGCGCAAAAAACCGATTTTTGTGAACTTTGACCCTGAAATTTAATAGTTGCTTA